TGCGGATGAGGGGTTTGGGGTGTGGAAAGGGCCCAGGGCTGGGACAGAGGGTTGGGATGTGAGAGTGAGGGCTACAGGAAGGGGCCGGGAATGAGGGGTTCAGGGTGTGGGAGGGAGCTCTGGGCTGGGGCAAAGGGTTGGGGTGTGGGAGGGGGTCAGACCTCTGGGCTGGGGGTTGTAGGCTCTGGGGTGGGGCCAAGGATGAGGGGTTTGGGATGCAGGAAGGGGTTCCAGGTTTGGGAGGGGCTCAGGGCTGGGGGTTGGGGTACGGGCACAGGCTTACCTCTGGCGGCTTCCAGTCAGCGGCACAGCCGGGGGGCAGAGGCAGGCTTCCCACCTGTCCTGGCACCATGTACTGTGCTGCAGCCAGCAGCAGGTCTGGCTCCTAGGCAGAGGCGTGCAAGCAACTCCATGTGGCTCTCGCCCACAGGCACTGCCTCCCACCAGCTCCTATTGGCCAGTTCCTGGCCAATAGGGATGCGGAGCCGGTGTTCAGGGAGGGGGCAGTGCGCAGAGCCCCATGGCTCCCGCGCCTAGGAGCCAGGACACAGCATGATGTCGGAACAGGAAGGGACTAGCCTGCCTTAGCCGGGCAGCACAGCCCATGGGACTTTTAATGGCCCGGTCAGTGGTGCTGACCAGAGACGCTGCGACCCAGTGCCTTACATTCTGCGACCCAGTACTGGGTAACGACCCGCAGTTTGAAAACCACTGCTCTAGCATAACTAAGTCAAGGGCAACCTAGCTGGGTCAAAGGCCAGGATATTAAGCAACAAAGACAGACCGGGATATCCTTCATCAATGGTGAAGGTGAAAGATGAATGTGAAGCTCAGGACACACTTCCTCAGCTAGGGGAAGTAATGTAACCCACACACCTTCTGGGCAGAACATCACAAAAGCACTCAGGGTTTCACTGCTGAGTGCAGGTTTGTGAGTGCTGCTAGGGACAAATTCTCTTTCTGATCACTGCTCTTGGACCAATACCTGCAAAAGTTTATCTATTCTGAAAGCATCTGTATTGTTCTGTCAAAGTGTTTCTCTTGGCACTAAACTACTTATCTTAGTATGGATGTTACTCATTATTAACAATAGTTTACAATATTTGTTATTGAATATTTATTCAAAGCTTCAATATTTCATAAAAATAATTATTTGTACTTTTGTTGGTTCCCCCTCTCAGGGCCATAACTAGAGTGGGGTGAGAGGAGCAGCCGCTCAGGGTACAGAGCCGGCGGGGGTGCAAAAACGGGTCAGCACAGGCCCAGCAACATCAAACATCTGCCCCCTTCCCCCCACCCCCCTAGGATAGCAATGTTACCTGAAGTCCATGAGAGTAGTTTAGGGGAGCATTGCCTCCCCCAGAGAGGTTCCAGCTGCTTCTCCTGCAGGGTGCTCACTGCCTTTGCAGCTGGATGCTGCCTCCTGGGTCCTAGGGCTGGTTGTCTTCCCCTTCTACGGAGCTGGCTGCCCAATGTGGCCACCAGGCTGTTTTCTGTACAATGGTGAGTGCAGGGTGATACGGGGATAGAGGCAGGTAGAGGCAGATGTGGGATGGGCATTGGGGCAATGAGCAGTGGGGAGAGGAAAGGGGATGAGATGGGGAGACGAAGAGGATGGGGCAGTGGGGAAGAGAAGGGGAGGGGATGGGGAATGGGGGGAAGCAGGAGCCCTGCATGCAGCATCCCATCAGCAGCAGCAGCTGGTGCTCCCGTTAAGATGGCTCATGCCCTCCCAGCCTGGGGAGCCCACCCAGTACAGACACCCCTCCAGCACCCCCCAAATACTCCCTCCAAGATTTCCAGATATCCCTCCCTGTAGACACCCCTTCCAGCACTCCCAGATATCCCTCCCAGTACACAGACACCCCTCCAGCACCCCCCATAACCCCCTCCAGTGTCCTCTATTTGGGAACTTGAAATATGGTAACCCTAGGGGTTACTCTGTTCTCACAGCCTTGGTTTCAGCAGTTGGCGGGAGCAAGTCCATCCTGCCAGCAGTCGCCTGCCACCAGCCCTGGGCTCGGCCCCAGAGTCGCATGGCTGAGCTCAAAGCTTGGGCTGTGAGACCGAGATCCTGGAATCATGGGGCTGGGGCCCGGGGAGCAAGGGCTGGTTCTGCTCTGCGAGCAGGAAGTGGGGAGAGAGTGACCTGGCTGCAATGGCAGGTCCCTGGGCAGTGAGCAGGGTGTGACCAGGCTGCTGAGAGGCAGGTGCCCCAGGGGAATGAGTCCTCCAGGGAATAGGGAGCATCTCATGGCAGTCAGGCTCCATGGGCAGGGGGGGCCAGCTCCAGAGGGTGTCACCAGCCAGTGCTGAGCTCCTTCAGGGAAGAGGCAAGAGCATGTCAGGCGCAGGTTGGAGCTGTGCCACCCACCCTGCCTGGGGACTGCCTGTCTGTGCAGAGGTGGCCTGGCTCGGGGAGCAGGGCAGGGAGGGCTGCCAGGCAGCCAGCCAGTGCTCTGGCTCCCACAACATGGAGCGCCAAGGGTCTGAGCGGGCCAGGCAGCTCCTACCAGCTTCCAGTCTGCTGGCTACCGGCAGGAAGCGACTGTTTTTAAACTGTGGGGCACATCCCCTTAGGGAGGCATGCTCCACAGTTAGAAAACCTCTGTGCTAAATGGGAGACAAAAATCTGAGTGGGCATGTGACCCTGCGTGCCTCCCCTCTATGTTGCTTCTAGTGGGTGCAAATATGATTAGAGCCTGGGTCAAGCAAAATGCTTAGTTATGGCTCTGCCCCTTCTTGGTAAAGGTTGAGATGCTGCTTAATGATGCTGATGTCACAAGCAGTTCTTGTTTCCATATGTTACAATGACTCCATGAAATACAGAAAATATCAGTACACTATTTTAAGTCAGGTATTTTCTCCACCTAATTTCATTGTGCAACTGTAGATTATCTTGAATATGGAAAAAGGAAAATCTTGTATCAGCAACAGCAGGGGATTAAAATAAAATTTTGCTGTGAGAGAAAATCAAAGCCAACGTACAAATATTACTATATCATTAAAGTTACATTACCTAATGTGATCTTTGTATGTTTTATAGTTTAAAGTACAAAATCATGACTGGTGTGGAGAAAGTAAATAAGGAAGTGTTATACTCCTCATAACACAAGAACTAGGGGGTCACTACATGAAATTAATAAGCAGCAGGTTTCAAACAAACAAAAGGAAGTATTTCTTCACACAAAGCAGAACTCTTTGCCTGAGGATGTTGTGAAGACTATAACAGGATTCAGAAAAGAACTAGGTAAGTTCATGGAGGATAAATCCATCACTGCTATTAGCCAGGATAGGCAGGAATGCAAAACCATGCTCTGAAGTGTCCCTAGCCTCGGTTTGCAAGAAGCTGGGAATGGGTGACAGGGGATGGATCACTTGATAATTACCTGTTCTGTTCATTCCCTCTGAAGCACCTGGCATTGGCCACTGTCAGAAGACAGGATACTGGGTTAGATGGACCTTTGGTCTGACCCAGTACGGTCGTTCTTATGTTCTTTGGTTCTTTACCTAACAGAGCAACTGTTCCAGTGGCCCAGAATGCGTATATTTATATATATTGTGTATATATACACACACAGGTTACAATTTTTTCCACGGAGGCTGTGGAAGTCACAGAATCTGTGATTTCTAGTGACCTCCATGAATTCGGCCCTGTCAGCCAGAAGCTGCAGGGTCCCGTCCCTCCACCCCCCCCCGGTGCGAGGGGGGGCAGGGGGGACCCTGCAGCTCCCCATAGCCATGGGTGACAGGGGCCCCTGGAGTTCCCAGCCACTGCAGGGCCTCAGCTCCTTGCCGCTGCAGGGACCCCCCCCGGAGCACCGAGCTGCTGCGGGCAGCGGGGCCCTCCCACAACTCCCAGCCAACACAGGCAGTGGGGTTCCCCAGAGCTCCAAGCTGCAGTTGGCGGCGGAGGCTCCCCGCAGCTCCGAGCTGCAAAGGACGGCGGGGCCAGAGCTCCTGGCTGCCTTGCGCAGCGGGGGCCCCCCGCAGCTCCCAGTTGCCATGGGGCGCAGAGGTATCCTGGAGCTCTGAGCTGCTGTCCCTAGAGTTCCAAACCACCATGGGCACCAGGGGTCCTTCAAAGCTCCCGGCCGCCGTAGGTACCCCAGAGCACTGAGCCCTCACTGGTGGTGGGGGCCTCCAGACCTCAGAGCAGCCCTTGCAGCTGCCCAACATCTGCAGGCAGTGGGGGGACCCCGCAGCTGGGCTCCCCATTTTGTCAGGGATATTTTTTAGTAAAAGTCAGGGACAGCTCACGGGCTTCCATGAATTCTTCTTTATTACCCGTGGCCTCTCCGTGACTTCTATTAAAAATATCCATGCCTTAAAATCTTAGCCTTAATAATGCATACAGTATGCATTGTGATAGGGGGCATCAAAACAAGAACAATGAAACTAGAATGAATATCCTAGCAATCACTACATGAGCAGAATAGTCCTTTCAGAAGTGCCTACTTAATGAGCATATACAGAATTACGGTAAATTAAAAAGTGTTCCACCTAAACTCTTATTTCCCACATGATGACTGTAAGATCAGTAATTGCTTTCTAATGCTTTGAACTCTGTTGTACTGTTAGATATTCAAGTGCACACACCAACACTTATCCAGTATCTTATATTTCAGGGCAAGTGCACACAAAGGCAGTTATGGACTTTTCCAAGCTACACTTCATCTCCTATTATACTACTCCTTTCCATTATTCTCCTCCCCTCCTATCACCTTATCTTATCTTTGTGTGCATTATCTCCCCAGTCTAAATAAACTCAGAAGGGCCAGAGCTTAAGCACAGTAACAGTTTATGAACCAGTCTGACTTCTTGAGCCAATGTGCCAGAACTAAAATTTTATTTTGGCCAATAAATCATTTGTTTAAGAAAAATGTTTGAAAAATTGCAACTGTCCTACTTTAGTTTATTTTTAAGAGTAACGTGAAGTCTCACCCTGTGTGTCTAACACCACCACACACAAAAGTAGGATTTAAAGCAATTTAGACACATTTTAGCAACTAATATTTTATTTAAAAAATAGTAATATACAAGTCATCTTTGGAGAATTACATTGTCTATAGACTATTGCAGATAAATAGTTATTGGGGACTTTTAAAATATAAGGATTGTTTTAAATGTGCTTTAACCTAAAGATGCTGAAGTTAACAAAAGGGAAGTTTAGCCATCTGTTCTAGTTGTATGACATAATTTTAACACTACAAAGCTACGGCTACTTTCTGAAGTTTGTTTTTAAAAAATGATTCTTCAACCTTTTCTGTAAGACACTAAACAGTTTGTCTTTATGTAGTAAAGAGATACAAATAAAGTAAGGCTCCAATCCTGGAAACAGTTATACACGTGTTTAACTTATGCACGCAAGTAGTCTCATTGAAATAAATGGGACTATTCGTGTTTGTAAAGTTACTCGAGTGTCTTTAATAGCCCAGTTAATTTTAAAACTGCCCAGCTTCTGAACCACGGAATACATGTAAAGAGGCCAAAGACTGAAAAGCAGATGAAAGTAGATTAGACCATATTTTTAAATGACTTGGTCTTCAATTAGTAATGTCAACTACAAATATATTAGCATGCAACACTACAGCACTGAAGACCATAATTTGTTTTCATCAGAAAGCTTAGATCACAAAATCAGGACAGTGTTTCTATAAAAAACAAACCATTGTCAGCAAAATTAATAAGTGGTTATTTGAGCAGATTTAAATATTTAATACATTTCAAAACACTTCAGAAGTTACATTAAGTGCTGTTTAGTAAGTAAACATAATGTATCAAAATTACTTTCAAAAGGCTATAATATAATATATATCTTCACTGAATACTTCTCTACTACAGCATTCATATTATGAATGAAAACTGTTTACGGCAGAGATATTTTCTTTGGTACAATGCACTTAAATGTGACTTGGCCATATGCACATAAAGTATAAGGGCATATCAACGTAGCTGCTTAATGGAAATGTTCATTAAATTATATTAATGTGACAGTAACTTACAATGCTGTATGCATATTGACCATATACTTTTCTTCTGTAACTTGCAGTAGTAATGGCCATTTTCCAAATTCTTGTTTGGTAAGAAATACAGAAGAAAAAGAAAAAGCATAGGAAACTATAGCTTACTTGTATAATTTTTAACATTTGCTTTCCATAATCCTCTGTATTACATAAAGCTGGAAATGAAACAGAAAAATACATTAGTATACATTAGTAAATATAAAGAAAATTAAAAACTTTATACTCAAGAATTATTCATAATGGCATAGTTAATAATTCAATTTTAATAAATCCATTTTCATGTACAATTCTTACAGAAGACTACATGAAGGGAAAAGAAAGTAGCTACATTATTTATAAGATGCAATTTTGAGAAGGTGAAGTAGAAATAGAATACTCATGTATACACAGAAAAAGTCAAGCCTGGTCTTGCTCCAGCATTCATGGGAATGTGTGTGCCCATATAACTTCTAAAATTATGCATAGCAGTTGGCCAGTGACATACAGCTGCATATCAGATAAAAATTGAACTTTCAATTTCAATAAGACTGACACAAACAACAAAGCAGACAGTTATTTACAGTTAAACTGTAATCCACCATCAAGGAAAAAAATGATTAATTTTATGATGTTTGTTTTTGTCACACTCAAAGTTAAAACATATTTTGTGTGCATCCATTTACTTTGTGAAAACACATTTGTTTTAATGAGTTATTTGGGAGTTCTGTTTTTAAAGGACCCCTGTAACTCCACAACTTTTTCAAGTTTTCACAAGACAAAAGTCAATTGGCTCCAAAAGTGAAAAAATGTGGGCCATATTCAGGATACAGCACAACTGTATGACCACGTTACAAAATCCTGAAAATACTTGTTTGTAATGTATGTGATGATACAGTCACAACTATGGCAGAGTAACTGGTTCCTCAGTGGCGAGGAGGCATTGGAGGATTACAAGCCAATGAGTGCCATTGACCCAGCAAAGATTACTGTTTAGCACTGGCAAAGATCCACATTGGCTTCACTCTTTACTAGAAAATAGCATAGCATATGATAACACAAAGAATAAAAGAAGAAATGCAAGATAAAAGTAGTAACTATAAAGATCAATTCTACATTTTCTACAACTTTTGAAACTAACACATACCCTAAACCCATAACACTTGACAATTGCATCCAACTGCTATTTCTGGAATTCCCTGTGTGAGTTTCTGTCCCTTTCTAACTTCTCACTCTGTTCCTGCACGTTCACAATTTCATGATCTCTGACATCAAAGCACAGGAGTTCAAGCCGAAAACCTGGATCCCTTATTGAAAAAAAGAACTCTCATGGAATATACAGCAGCTCCTCAGATCAGTCAAAATAGCGAAGTAATTTGAGCCAATGACTCAAGCATAATGATTATTCATACTTTAATTCTCATCATATAAAAGATAACATATTCACACTGTTTATTAAAATGACTGAAGCTTGGTTATGACTAAAGAACTCTTTGAAATGTGAAGACTTTTTTCTCTATTGATATCCTAGCTAGACTGCTAGTTAGCACTTACTTTTTACGGTCCTTGTCTTTTTTCAAACTAACGCTAGGTGTAGATGCAAATGCCTGTGCTTGAAGTAACTCAGTAGCAGCTTTTCTTTTATTGAATGCAATCATATCATCTTCCAGGAGTTTTCTTTTTTCCTCCAGCTTCATCCTCTCTTCTTGGTGAAGTCGTTTAAGGTGTTCAAATTTAGCCTGCAGCTGTTAACCAAAGCACAAAAATTGCATTTCCAACTAGCGACACACGGTGGTAGCCTTGCCAAAGGAAAACACTCACTAATACTAAAGCAAACTTTGTAAGCTACATAGGTAGCTTGCATGTTGTTATCATTGTAGATTTCTTACATATCTTGAGTTCTTAAAACACTGCTTCATAAATCAACCACAGGGGCACCATAGTCCTGTTAAAAAAAACTTTAAGTAAAAGAAACTTTTGAAGTACAATCACATATTTATATGTATTTGCAAAAAAGGCTCAAACAACTTTAAAAAAAAAAACATTTAGGATGACATGTATACAGATTTTAATTCGTATTAAAAATTAACAGGGAGACACATGGGTAACTTAATGCTGGAGCCAATAAATTGCAAGAACTAAATAGGGCACTAGATTTGCATCAGGAAATATTTTATATGGATCAAAAATTGAGGCATCCACAGGTAACATTTCTGAAGAGAGGGCCCCCTTTATGGTTCAACAGAGGAGTATCCAATCATCACTGAGCTGAGTAAAGAAAAACAATAGCTTGATATAAACTGGAGTTGGGAAGCTCTTTGATATTGGAACCTCTGAGAAGAGGGAAACATTAGTAGAGCATTCGAAAATTAGGACTTGTTGGGCAGAATATCTAAGACTTCTATCTCCCTAAAACTAGATGGTCAGAAAGCCATCAGATGGCTGTATATGTATGTAGCCCACTGTCTATGACTACAATTTGAGTAGTCGGAGAAAAACAATTTGTCGTATCACAAGAGTTAATTATTTATTTGAAAGAATTGTTCTCTGAAGAAACACATTTTAGGCTTTGTCTACACTAGCACTTCTGTCTGCAAAACTTTTGTCTGGTAGGGGTGTGAAAAAAACCACACCCCTCACCAACAAAAGTGCTAGTGTGGACAGTGCTACGTCAGCAGGAGAGCGTCTCCCACCAATATATATACTGCCGCTCGTTGGGGGTGGTTTAATTATGCTGGCAGCAGAGAGCTCTTCTGCTGGCATAAAGCAACTACGCAGGAGACCTTACAGTGGCACAACTTCAGCGGTACAGCTGTGCTGTTATAAGGTCCAGAGTATAGACATAGCCTTAATTTCTCTTTGGATCTGTGCAGTTACAGATCCGAGTGAACCACTGCATGCTCAAAACCTCTGTTGAAGCTGTCCATATGGACTGCCACACTTGGGAGATTAACAAGCAAGTAGTGACCCTGTAGGTTGGTCAGTCTGAGGAGCAGTATTTAGAAGTAACTGCAAGACTACTGTCGTGAATTGGGAAGAATTCAGGTACAGAGAGTAATGTTGCATAAAGAGTTCCAAATACCAACCTTGCATACAAGACAGATAAGGTAGGTGAGGTAATATCTTTTACTGGACCAACTTCTGTCAGTGGAAAGTACAAGTCCTCTGAGCTACACAGAGCTCTCCTTCAGGTCTGGGGAAGGAAGCAGCCTCTGAGAGGTTGTCTACACTTACAAAACTGAGAGTGGACGACATGATACATCTGAGGGAAGGGAACAGAAGGAGACTCCGCCGATTGGAAGGCATGAGATGCACTGTCCTAGGTTTTGGGGTTCCACGACCACCGCTCCCAAGAGAAGGAGGCTTGGGACGCTCTCCTCAGGGGGACTGAGTCATCTATCTGCTGCCCTGACCAGAAAAACAGAGAAGTCTGCTGCTTGCCAGGAGCTAGGATTCACGATGTGATGGAGAGACTGCAGAGACTCATCAAGCCCTCGAATCGCTACCCCTTCCTGCCTCTCCACGTGGGCACCAATGATACTGCCAAGAATGACCTTGAGCGGATCACTGCAGACTACGTGGCTCTGGGAAGAAGCATAAAGGAGTTTGAGGTGCAAGTGGTCTTCTCGTCCATCCTCCCCGTGGAAGAAAAAGGCCTGGGTAGAGACCGTTGAATCATGGAAGTCAACAAATGGCTACGCAGGTGGTGTCGGAGAGAAGGCTTTGGATTCTTTGACTATGCGATGGTGTTCCAAGAAGGAGGAGTGCTAGGCAGAGACGGGCTCCACCTAACGATGAGAGGGAAGAGCATCTTCGCAAGCAGGCTGGCTAACCTAGTGAGGAGGGCTTTAAACTAGGTTCACCGGGGGAAGGAGACCAAAGCCCTGAGGTAAGTGGGGAAGTGGGATACCGGGAGGAAGCACAGGCAGGAGCACGCGAGAGGGAAGGGTTCCTGCCTCATACTGAGAAAGAGAGACGATCAGCGAGTTATCTCAAGTGCCTATACACAAATGCAAGAAGCCTGGGAAACAAGCAGGGAGAACTGGAAGTCCTGGCACAGTCAAGGAATTATGATGTGACTGGAATAACAGAGACTTGGTGGGATAGCTCACATGACTGGAGTAGTGTCATGGATGGATATAAACTGTTCAGGAAGGACAGGCAGGGCAGAAAAGGTGGGGGAGTTGCATTGTATGTAAGGGAGCAGTATGACTGCTCAGAGCTCAAGTATGAAACTGCAGAAAAACCTGAGAGTCTCTGGATTAAGTTTAGAAGTGTGAGCAACAAGGGTGATGTCGTGGTGGGAGTCTACTATAGACCACCGGACCAGGGGGTTGAGGTGGACAAGGCTTTCTTCAACTCACGGAAGTTACTAGATCGCAGGCCCTGGTTCTCATGGGAGACTTCAATCACCCTGATATCTGCTGCGAGAGAATACAGCAGTGCACAGAGAATCCAGGAAGTTTTTGGAAAGTGTAGGGGACAATTTCCTGGTGCAAGTCTTGGAGGAACCAACTGGGGCAGAGCTCTTCTTGACCTGCTGCTCACAAATAGGGAAGAATTAGTAGGGGAAGCAAAAGTGGATGGGAACCTGGGAGGCAGTGACCATGAGATGGTAGAGTTCAGGATCCTGACACAGGGAAGAAAAGAGAGCAGCAGAATACGGACCCTGGACTTCAGAAAAGCAGACTTTGACTCCCTCAGGGAACTGATGGGCAGGATCCCCTGGGAGAATAACATATGGAGGAAAGGAGTCCAGGAGAGCTGGCTGTATTTTAAAGAATCCTTATTGAGGTTACAGGGACAAACCATCCCGATGTGTAGAAAGAATAGTAAATATGGCAGGAGACCAGCTTGGCTTCACAGTGAAATCCTTGCTGATCTTAAACACAAAAAAGAAGCTTACAAGAAGTGGAAGATTGAACAAATGACCAAGGAAGAGTATAAAAATATTGCTCGGGCATGCAGGAGTAAAATCAGGAAGGCCAAATCACACCTGGAGTTGCAGCTAGCAAGAGATGTTAAGAGTAACAAGAAGGGTTTCTTCAGGTATGTTAGCAACAAGGAGGACGTCAAGGAAAGCGTGGGCCCCTTACTGAATGAGAGAGGTAACCTAGTGACAGAGGATGTGGAAAAAGCTGAAGTACTCAATGGGTTTTTTGCCTCTGTCTTCACGAACAAGTCAACTCTCAGACTACTGCACTGGGCAGCACAGCATGGGGAGGAAGTGACCAGCCCTCTGTGGAAAAAGAAGTGGTTCGGGACTATTTAGAAAAGCTGGACGAGCACAAGTCCATGGGGCCGGATGCGCTGCATCCGAGAGTGCTAAAGGAGTTGGCGGATGTGATTGCAGAGCCATTGGCCATTATCTTTGAAAACTCATGGCAATCCGGGGAAGTCCCGGACGACTGGAAAAAGGCTAATGTAGTGCCCATCTTTAAAAAAGGGAAGGAGGAGGATCCTGGGAACTACAGGCCAGTCAGCCTCACCTCAGTCCCTGGAAAAATCATGGAACAGGTCCTCAAGGAATCAATTCTGATGCATTTAGAGGAGAGGAAAGTGATCAGGAACAGTCAGCATGGATTCACCAAGGGCAAGTCATGCCTGACTAATCTAATTGCCTTCTATGACGAGATAACTGGCTCTGTGGATTAGGGGAAAGCAGTGGACGTGTTGTTCCTTGACTTTAGCAAACCTTTTGACACGGTCTCCCACAGTATTCTTGCCAGCAAGTTAAAGTAGTATGGGCTGGATGAATGGACTATAAGGTGGATAGAGAGCTGGCTAGATTGTTGGGCTCAACGGGTAGTGATCAATGGCTCTATGTCTAGTTGGCAGCCGGTATCAAGTGGAGTGCCCCAAGGGTCGGTCCTTGGGCCGGTTTTGTTCAATATCTTCATAAATGATCTGGAGGATGGTGTGGATTGCACCCTCAGCAAGTTTGCAGATGACACTAAACTGGGAGGAGAGGTAGATACGCTGGAGGGTAGCGATAGGATACAGAGGGCCCTAGACAAATTAGAAGATTGGGCCAAAAGAAATCTGATGAGGTTCAACAAGGACAAGTGCAGATTCCTGCACTTAGGACGGAAGAACCCAATGCACAGCTACAGACTAGGGACCGAATGGCTAGGCAGCAGTTCTGCAGAAAAGGACCTAGGGGTTACAGTGGACGAGAAGCTGGATATGAGTCAACAGTGTGCCCTTGTTGCCAAGAAGGCCAATGGCATTTTGGGATGTATAAGTAGGGGCATTGCCAGCAGATCGAGGGACGTGATCATTCCCCTCTATTGGACATTGGTGAGGCTTCATCTGGAGTACTGTGTCCAGTTTTGGGCCCCACACTACAAGAAGGATGTGGAAAAATTGGAAAGTGTCCAGTGGAGGGCAACAAAAATGGTTAGGGGACTGGAACACATGACTTCTGAGGAGAGGCTGAGGGAACTGGGATTGTTTAGTCTGCAGAAAAGAAGAATGAAGGGGGATTTGATAGCTGCTTTCAACTACCTGAAAGGGGGTTCCAAAGAGGATGGATCTAGACTGTTCTCAGTGGTAGCAGATGACAGAACAAGGAGTAATGGTCTCAAGTTGCAGTGGGGGAGGTTTAGGTTGGATATTAGGAAAAACATTTTCACTAGGAGGGTGGCGAAGCACTGGAATGCATTACCTAGGGAGGTGGTGGAATCTCCTTCCTTAGAAGTTTTTAAGGTCAGGCTTGACAAAGCCCTGGCTGGGATGATTTAGT